GAAAGAGAATGTGTTTGAAAAATTTAAATTTATCACTAAATATTTTATATATGCACTTACAGCGTATTTAATATAAGAAAACGAATCAAACGTGACCCACTATCAACCAGAAAAGGATTAAAGAATGACTTTAAAATATAACGGAGCAACTTATGGACTGAACGAACACATATAAACCTTCGGTGAGGGGATTTGTGCTTTTAAAGACCACGTACAGATGTATCAAGAATTCACGCACTTAAATATTCGAACAGATACGAAATGATTCGATACGATGCATTAATTTCCAAAGAACACGATGTTGTAGCTTTCACGATGCTGGATGTCAAAAGTAACGAGATACATCTCGCACGAAATACAACATCAGTTACCTACATTCATCACGGTTAATGGCTGCAGGGCCATTACGCCCTTTATCCTTCGACAAAGCCAAATTGAATGTCAAGCGCTACAAGATTCGATAGCGAGCGAGAAAGCGTACATTAATCTGCACGCGAACAAGACGTGTACACGAAATCTGCGTTTTAAATCACTCGACGAATTGAAGGTCCGCGCTCTTACATCGTCTGCTGGGCTCGTAGGAACGTTAAGTCATCGTTAAATAAAAAATCGAGCTTAAGTAAACAAATGCAGTAATGGAGTAATTGTATTTTCAGTCCTCAAGACTGCATCTCAATGGTTCATATTCTACACATATAGACTTGTTCAAACGTTGAACGAGTGATTATCAAGGTTGCTAACCTATTTTTCTTATTTACGAACTGAAAAATTAAAAAAATAATTGTTATTATAAGATCGTTAAAAAAAAGTGACGATCAAGCAATGGTTTATGTGCTGTGGCAGCACTGCTTGTTGTGGAAGCAGTGAATTCTTAGGGATTGAAAGATAACAACCTTTTAATAAAACTCTTAATGATAGGTATAATTGTCTATTTAATTCTAGCCTTCTCTAATTAGTCTATCACATCTACGGTGTACTATATTCCAATGTTTTAGGTTACATCATTTGACGCTTACAAGGAAACCGAAAATTCCAATATTTTTAAAAGTTTGCAAGGTGATAGAGGACCCTAATGAAAGTATCAAGCAATTTTGTTTACTACTTTTTGGTTATTTAAGGCAAAAACATCCTTTAAAAAATAATGTTTTTTTTTTTTCATTTTTCTATATAGGTATTTTGAAACCTATGCTACGTACAAAAAAATTGTTAGAATGAGAATTTAATGGCTTTTTACGTTCTATAAAACAGTGCGCTAAAATAGTTAAATATTTATTTATAAACAAACAAAATATATTAATTTAACTTTCAGCTTTTTTTGTATGTACACCAGGTCTTAAAGTTAATAAAACAAATATAAAATATGCTTCTCCAAAAATGTAATGAAACCTCTTTTTCAATGATCTCCTTTATTAATCCCACGTATACTCTTCTATTTATTCAGAAACCTGGTCTCAAAGTATTTAAATATCTTGCTTCAGTTGCATGAGACACTCTGTATAATTAATGTACTTGTTAT